TTATCCCGTAATGGTAGGCTGATTAGTAAACTTGTCCAAAATCGACTCAGTGGCATGCGCTTTCTCAAACAACTCTTAACGAAACTGTTGACACGCAGAGGTTGGACAGTTTTTACTATCAGGCTACGCTTTTGATCATTGTTTGTCCCGCGTGATTATGTAACTCTATTTTTGAACTACGTATAAAATAATAAGAACGGGGAAATGGAGTGAATATCCTTTCACGGTTGATCGGTCAAACGAGATTCAAGGTTCCACCATCGCTAGCCTCAATCTAAGATAATGTGGTTGACTAAAAGCATGTTTAATGGCCCCAAAAAATGCCCTATTTAACCGCAGTGGCTTTCGGGACGAATTCCTCATAAGGTCACTCAGATTTCTCCGGATGAACTCCAAAATACTGCTCCGAAGAAACGCGTGCTGCAAATGCTAGAACCCTCTTGCTAAAAATGATGTACTTTGTGAGGGTCTGACATTGGAAGCCGCCGACATTTTCTAATTTGTCGCCTGAACAGATTACATCGATTTTACTCAAAACCTTCATTTTCTTATTCTGTTCAGTAGAAAGTTTGGAACAATGCAAAGTCCTGTTGTCGTTCTCCAACAACCTCTTGCTTATAAGGAATGCTTCTCAGTCCAGCTTTGCTATGCTTCAGATAAATGTCTAGAATGATTTTAAATGACAAACTGTTGGCTCAATGAAACAAATCGAAGTGGACCAGTGGCATAATACTTTTCGTTCCATCTGATAATTTTGTGCCGCAAAACGAACATTTGAAACTTGATAAAATTTCGCCAGCCTCTCCATTTCAGCCGTTGGCAGTAGTTTATTGAAAGAAGTCAAAGACGGCAAAAATTTCACCGAACGTTCTACGTGATCTGCAGTTTCATAGTTAATAACCCTCTATGGACCAGGCGAGATATTGCGTGAGCATGTACACGAACCTCCCTCTTATATCTTAGGTCAGTCACAGCCAAAAAGTTCTCTTCATTAAGATGCCTATCAGAGGTTTGTTGGTTGGATGTTTTTCCTGTCGAGTTGCTAGGTCTCCTTGGTAAAGAAAACATCAAAGTTCATGATTTGGGAAGCTTGCAGATAATACCGAATCGAAATGTTTCCGAACGCTTTATACATTCCCAAGGCCTTATCCGCAAAGCCAATTAGGCCGACTGATCATCTAGACAAATAAGGATTTGAAGATGATGACGCTACCGGCAACCGAGTTAAAAAAAGAACAATTTGTAAGAACACCGCTACTCAAATGAAAATGCATGTTGAACCCAATTTGAATACAGCTAAACGCATACATTTCACTTCTAAAATAGGTAACATAGTAGGCACAGATAACATATTTTGCCCTCGAAAAACAAAAAGGTCCGCCATCTATTTTATGCCCTGTTTTTCGAGTTCCGCTTGGACGGTCGTGAAAACCTCTTCAATGCTGGGAGAGGCGTCAATCTAAAAGAGCACAGAAAAAATAATGTTCACCCGGAATTTAAGATAGCGAAAACATCTTTTCATTTAAATGATATATAATTAAGGTTCCAATGGGATGCTTAATCTCGGAAAATGATCTCTATCAATAATTTTCTTTTTGACAGATATTTCTGGTTATAGGACAATGTTCTGAGCGTTTGAATCAGCGGTCAGAATTTTATTCCCCTGCCCTTGACCAGGCCTGATCTTTTTTTGCGAACGTTTGACCGCTTTCATTCGGTGTAGATTTAAATTAAGCTTATAAAGTACTTTAGGTTATCTTTTTTCAGGCATCTGCCACGTATAGGCCGCAATATTTAGAACACCATTATAAAGGGAAATTTATTTTGAGATACTTGAAGTCAAAGTCATTCTTTTGGAAAAGAGGTTTATTGCGTATATTTTCGAGACTGGAGCCCCAGTTCGTCTTTGGACATAATTTAAAACGACAGTACCGAGTGAGCTATTTACTACTTCGTAACGCCTTACTAATTAACAGCCCTTATGGTCAGTTAATTTCGTACAACACCCAGTTATGGTGTTGGTGGACCGTCACGAACTTGTTGGACTACGCCTAAACATCTAGTTTCCAAGAAACAGCACTACGTTCATGCAATCAACTCAAGAATAGGCCCTAAAGAAACATATATTTTTTTAGCTAATGACACTATTGAAATACCTAAAAGCCTCAACCACTCACCTTGACAACTTTATTTTCCTTCTCGTAGTACTCAATGACCGGTTTGGTTAGTTCATTAAAGGTCTTGAGACGATTTATGATTGTTTCCACATTGTCGTCCGCACGCCCACTGGTCTCGCCACGCTTCAGCAGACGTTCACGCATTACGTCCTCGCTGACGTCAAAGACCAGGACGCAGAGGCATTTGCAAATCTAAAGGAAACAATACATTTACAGTGTGCAACTTTGGTACGTCCTAGTGAACAAAAGAGCTATACTTTTCAAAAACAAAAACCACATCACCGTAAGGCTATACGTCAAGTAATGTCAGGATGTGCAAAGTTATTCTGCGGGTATCATAAGTTATTGTTTTTTTGAGTGACTTAAGTATAAGCTTTTAGGAATTTTAAAAGGACTATAGATGTTTTAGCTTCCAAAGATGATTCCACTGAAAGCTTTTGAGTTATATGTCTCTGCATCATTTACGGCAGTTAAACAAAGTTTTATTTATCATGATTTTTAAACCTTTTATTTGAAAAACAGTATAGCGAGTCCTGCATGCAACTTTCATGACGAAATATAACTTAGTAGGTTAGCATATATGTGAACAGGTTATTTTGATCAACGGAGTGGATTTAATAATTAGAAAGGTTTTTATTTATGGGGCCAAATAGACACTAGCTTTGACTAAATAATGAGAAAGTTTATATCGAAGAAACTTCCTATGCTAAATTCTTTCCTTTCCAGTCCAATTGAATCGTTCATCGTCAGGTATATTTAAAAATGTCAAAAATATCCTATTTCATTTTGACATTACCTTAGTAAAAGGCAATTAACCCAGACATTCGTCAGCTGAATATCTTATTATAGTATTTTTAAAGAGGTAATCTAGTATAGAACGCTTTTTATTAATCTTAGGAATAACAATTTCAGAATTTTGTTGTGGACGTTATTTTTTCTCGAAAATGTGATTTGCTGTTCTGAAGCCTTTCTAAATATGATCTACATGACCATCTTCATAAGAATTAATATCAAAAATCCATTTTTGGTAAATGCTCATTATGTATATCTTATTTTAAAAGTTTTTATGTAAACATCGAACAGAAGAGCAATTTATGAATTAAAATATGAAGGCACTGAAAACGATGGAAATTATGCCAGACTTTATTGGACGACATTCAATAAATAGTTATCCCCTAATGGTAATATGTATAAAATATTTTGACTAAGGAAAAGTTACTTTATATGAAGAAGTTAGTTACGTTCCGTTTTCAACTTACGAATAGATTTTATTTTATCGTTCTAATTTATAGCTCTTTTTAACGTCGCCGGAAGTTGATGATAATCGGGAAAAGTTTATTTTTCTTAACAAACACATAGTACTTAGTTCTTTTAAGTACTTAATGTGCCTAAAGCTGCTCATCATTATTTCTAAATTTTCGTAAATCCGTTCTTGCCCGTATGAGAGAAATAATCAAACTTTTACAAACTTAGGTATGTTGCATGCAGCCCTCGCCATACTGTGTATTTTTTAAGCTTCTTGGCTTGTGATATATGAGTGACATCTGCCCCAGAACAGCAAACGCGTTCAGTACTTAAAGGTGTTTCAAGTGCCAATTTACTCTACACCTGAAATAGGGCACAAAATAGAGTACTATTAAAGTTTCCGGCTAATAAATAGCCACAGCAAAAACTTTTAATCAAAGCATGTCAAGCGTGATTAATAATAGCCAGATTTTTGCTTAGCCTAGTTGAATTTATTCAGTGCGAGAGTTCAGCCATAGGAAAAAACGCAAATTTTGCTAAATTATCTGTTGCCTTCTCTGCTTTATTTGATTCGCACCTCATTTTCGAATCGCGTCCCTTGTTCCAGTTCCCTAGGGTAACCGTCGATGAGGAAATGGCAGTTTTTGTCTACCAATTTGACCATGGCATCCTTGATCAACTGTAGCACAATGTCCTGCAAATAATCAATGCAAAAGTACATTGACAAGGGTATAATTAAAGCAGCCGTGGCTAGGGTAAACGAAACAAAACGTATAACGAACGAGAGAGAGACTGTCTCAAACTTTGCAGACAAGCATAATAAAAGGAGGGGGCATTATCGGGTAAAAAAAAACATTTTAATGCAATACATAAAGAATTAGAGGTATGGAATCTCGTAGGATTGATTTCAAATTTTTACTGTTTTTTTGCTTTTTTTCTGGGGAAGAACTATGAGTACTTTCTGAAGGAATACTTCTCATCCTTAAATGCACTGTTGCGTAGACTGTATTCGAACTTCACACCCGTCACAAAATTTAGTAAGTGTACTTGCGGAAAAAACCAAGCTGAACAACCTGCTCGACTGGCAGCAAAAAGTGAAGGATGCGTTCCAAAGACTGGGAACAAAGTCCAGTTTATGATAAGTATGCAGCCAAGGAACGAAGCAAAAACCTATTGTATGAATATTTGGGGGTGTAGCATAGCCACAGTTATATTTAAGCCTTCCATAGTTTCTCCGAGCAGCTAAACTATTCAAATTTTGTCTAAATATTTAGTTTTTTCATAATCATGCCTTTACTTACTACCTCAGATGGAAGAACTATTGCGCAACTATCCCAAACTTTAAAGATAATCAAGAAAAGGTTTACAGCCTAGCTAGTGCTAGGAAACAGGAACGGTAAGATGCTTTATCGCCAAACTTTTGGCAGACAGCGGTTGTCGCACAGAGGCAAACGCACCCTTTAGTTATAGCGAAAAAGCGGATGGCAAAGACAATCTCTTCAGACCCATCCGGACAAAGTCTACACTTTTCATGATAAGATGCTACCCAGCGCACTGGACTCGCGCAATCTTCTGAAATCTAACAGAGAAAAATCACCTTTCCGCCATATCCGCCCTGCCTTTTTTACGATAACCTAAAACCTTGTCTCAGTCGCTCGGTAACAGCTCATACCTACACGAAGGTTATATATTTAACTGCCAGAAAGAAAAAAAGGGCTGTAAGTTTGTTTTGAATCTAACTGACCAGTCGCATATGAAGTCGGTGAGAGGTACTTTATTTTTTAATCCAACATACCCCATTTCTAGATTGTTGGATTGTCAAAAAATCAACGTACCAGAGAAACCAGTTCACCTTTTTCCATTATCGCTTTCAACTCGTTTCCACGAGGAGACCCCGAAGCAACCTCAGCACGAAGAAGGTCGCCACTGGAAAGGTGGTTGAATCCATACTTATTAACGATATTTTCACATTGAGTCCCTTTGCCGCTTCCTGGGCCACCTTAAACGCAGAAAATGATGTCTTTAATTTGGTCGATAATTTAATTAATTAAAATTAGTTAAATTAATAAATCAAAAATAATTTTAAAATATTAATAAATATAGTACCGAAATCCATCTAAAAACACTCGTTTACATGGTTAACTATTTCCCTACTTTGTTTTTTTGAATATCCTTAGTGGAAACAGCACCTTTTAAAAATTGTACGAAAACGTTTATAGCACCAACAAGTTGTATCATTTTCAACCGAATGGCTCACGGAAAATCAAAATTATTCTTATGAATTCACATATACCCTCCGCTGATTCATTCTCAAAATTAACAAATAAACGGATCGCGGCTATTTACTTGCCGACGACTTACTTAACGACGACTACCAATATAACCTTCCCCGAGGTCCGAGCAAACTAAAGCTGAAAACTCATTCTTGTATTTGCCAAACGATTCTCAAAAAAAACATGGTGGGCTTTCAGCAAATATCATGAATAAAATTGTAAATTTTTATAAAAACGAAAATAATGACGATTAAGATAAAATCTAGGTGGTAATCATGTGAGCAAGCATTTATATATGCATGGTGATTTTTCAATTTTTAGAGAAGTAAACCTGTGAAATTCTACAGGCATGATGTCTCCTACTGCGTATTCAAATTACATGAGTAAGAGTCTTCGTTTTTACGCATAATAAAACCTTTCCGAGTGGAATCGTATTAGACTCTTGAGAGCCTGGCCTGTAAGATGCCAAGATTGCCCTCAAAATGGCGGTCAGGACAGCACATTCAAAATCCGACAAAAATTACAGTCTGCTCGAAATTGTTTTTAAGGACTTCGATATGCACGTTGCCGATGAGGCTAATAAGGGGATCCATTTTATCGACCAATTCATTCAAGATATTGTGTGCAATGTGCAGGAAAGGTATTCAGACCTAAGCAGCCAGTTTCATGACTATGATCAAAAGTCCAACCAAATGCTTGGCTATAATACTTCATGGAAAAAACTCCGATTGCAAACGTATTGTTGTTGATTTGTTTATGTTAACCATAACTAACTTCATGCGCATTGGATTAAAAATGAAACCAGATTCTTGCTTAAATGTTGTGATGTGATAATTAAGAGGAATGAACTGTGCTTTGGGGTTCTTGGATAGAAATGGTGTGTTAACTAGTGAAATTTATATTTGCACCTTTTGCTCGACGTTATTTAAACGATTTAATCTAAAGGGTTTAGAAAACTGAATATATGTTGTGCAAATGTTTCTCTCGTCACTTTTTGACGGACATTTTGTGACTTTTAAGATTACTCACTTAGTAATATTTTATACATTCTCTATGCCTAAAAGCCTTGGAACAGGGATGGATAAGTCGATTGCATTTTAATTATACGTGGATTCTTATCACTTTTCTGGTACTTTAAGGAGCTTATTGTGAGAAAGCAAATGATATAACTATAGTTATCGAAGCAATTTCGGTAACCACTGTGTGCGCGGCATAAAGTTTGTAAGAAAAGGATTCATGAAGTAAATTGAGCTAATTTTTTTGAAGGAGATAATTGCTATTTAGGCATTGGGAGAGACTCAATAACCTACCTAAAACGAAGATGACTTTTGCATTGCTTAATCTTTCGTCCGGCATATCTCCAGTAACTGGCAAACAAGAGCCCCGTGACTCAACTGAAACCTGTAATATATATTTTGCTCCGGTGCCTACAACTAGTGGTCGGTTTGGCGCAGCAACTAAACATGCTTGAGTGTTTCAGGCCTGCTTGTTCACTTCCAACACGTCCAGTTAAACTGCCCAATGAGATTACAGGCTGGTCTAGCCACGCGCCTTGATTCGATCAGGGAATTCAATATTTCTAGCGCGCGTGCCACTGGCTTTAACCTATCAGAATTGTCGGAGTTCAGGCTTAAGTATAAGGTTAGGACGTGAGCCTTTTTTGTACATGCCCGCTAAAAATGACTGTCTTTGGCGTTTTTCATGGGGCTACGCGCCATCGAGTTTAAATATTATTACACATAACGCTACCTAATAGTATCTAACATTGAGTGGCTGAACGGCAAAGCTGAAGCAGTTGGAATCTTCAATGTGATAGATACATCTTATTCTAAGTGGCTTGAAGGCAACTCTTGCACATTTTTACTGAGATAATTTCTGCCATTCAATTTTATCCTTAAATATCTGGAAACTTAGGCCAATAAGCGGACGTATGCAGAATGTTGAAAGTAGTTTTTAATCCCTTCAGAACTCTAGAAGATTAGCACAATGACTGTGGTAAATTGTAGCAGGTATCCACATTTAAACCTTACTGGTGGTTTTTTTCTCATAAACAAGTCTCAGTAGAGGACGTTTTTAAAGCAACAGGCTTTATTCCACCGTAAATCAAACCTCTGCAGATGGGAGTGGCCGCACTGTCGACTATAAAATTTGCAAGAATCTCGCAAGAATTCTCCTCGTAATAAGGATCCTATGGCTCTTTTTCAACGAATGAAAATGAATAATTACAATTAAAAGACAACTGTAAGAATTCAGTTTATTCCAGGAAAATACATTTTTTCTCAATAGTTTGGAAATATGGTTCAGTTTAAATATCATGTTCAAAAAAATATCGGAAACTTTTACTGTGTATTTCGAGGCAGTAGTAGATTTCCCCGCAAGTATAAGCTCTTTGCACGCACAGTTTAGGCATCATGCAGGCAAATGTAAACATGCAAAAGTCCCCTCTTGGGGACTAATTGGTCTGCATGGAATACATTATTCATCCCCTATTCCGCTCGTGAGCAATAATCTCTTTTTATGCTCGAAGATAATCAGATGCGCAGTGCATTTTCATTTGTCTACCCTCGGGTACTTTAAGGCACTGTCTGAACTTTGTCTTTGTTTTTTCGTGACCTTTGAAGGTTTTTCTTTGAAATTTTGCCTATCTCAAAGGAAAGCATATTCTCTCATGCCCTCAAGAGTCAATATTTGAGATCCCTTTATTGAGGAGGACGAAAAACATACTTTAAAAGATAGAATCACGTAGTTCTGCTATAAAAGCTTCTATGTGCACAATTCTCTGGTTAGCATACACTAACCGGTGGCTTTATATAGCAATTAGAAGCGCTGATTTCATAAATCTTTGACCAATTTGAAATGCCAGTAAAGTGCTGACCTTTTTCGCACAAATTAATCAGTAAGTAGGAATTGGTTGCTTCCGTTGGTAATCAGAGAGCTCCACTTGAATGAGAAGGGCCTCGTTAGGAAATCAAATCTTCTGGGGCTTTATATCTTGATTTGGATACAGTCAATTACCGAATAATTTCTTTTCAGAAATGTGATATCTACACAAATAAGACTCTCAGTCATATTGCTCCTGATGTTTATTTCCAGACGAGGAATAAATGTCCTCCATTCCTTTAAATTCTCAAGAGTCGCCTTTATGCCTAATGATTTAACCCAAGTGAGATATACGCTGCACTAAATAGCACTACATTTTGCAGGACGTCCATTGAACTATTCATTTCCTTTGGATGAAGGGAAAAGTAAGGTTCAATTGAAAAATTTCAAACCCGTCCTAAACTGGGGTTAGTCAAAACCGACAGGTAGGTTACGCGTCAAGCAATAATACGCAGCCAGGGGAGAATAGTGTTTAGTCGATCCACAAAATGGGATTGAATTTTGGTATGTGGCCATGAAGCCTTTCTGACGTGTCCCGAGACTCCACTCGAGGCATTTTGCCATTGAGCATTCACTGACAACTGAGTTTGAGATGTGCCTAATATATTGCGCAGGAAACGCTGAAAATGACCAGTATCTGCGACTTCACTGGTAACATTACTTTGTACAATTTTCTAAAATTAATGACAATCGATGAAAGAGGGCAAAGCAACCGTTTGAGATATTGATTTGTAGAGGAAAGCGCTTAGCTGGCAAGCTATTATAATTATTAATGGGTCCAAACAAAAAATAACCGTGATGTAATGGAGCCACAGAGCTGCGTCAAAGTTTTATTGGACACAGTAGCTTGTAATAAATGGCAATAAACAGGAGATTATCTGTGGTTAATGATGTTGGCAGGTTTTATAAGGAAACACATGATGAATCACATTTAGCGCTCATCTCCAGTACCATGTTTAATACTATAAACCTAACTAACACCGTTAGCAGCGGAATAAGAGATCATGTTTTTAAATGTACTCTAGCGCTTGGTTTCATTCGAGTATTTTGTACTATTAGGAGTTAGTGCGGTCTCCCTGACGTTTTTGGAAACTGGTCTTCCATTTGATGTGGGACCACTTTTTTTCAGGGGGAAACGTTTAACGTCCAAAAACAGTGAGGCAAGGTTAGGACTGAGTTATGATTTTCAATGAAATGAATATATATATTAATGCGTTTCCGTGACCATAAATGTCATGACAAAGTTAAAATGACTAACATTAGAGCCACCACAGTAGTTCGTCTACTGATAATTTTCTCGGTGAGCATCCTTGAGATTCAAAATTAATAAAAAAAATCCTTTGTCTGCTAATTTTGACTTTCACAATTTTACACCCCTCTCCTCCTACTCACATACTTTAACTGGCCGGTCTGTCTGAGTTTCCGAAGCGACAAATTTTGACCATAGCACACAGCCTTCTTATGTGCTAATGGTTTAACCACTAGGTTACTGCCCTGGGTGAAATAGTCAGGACTTTCCTAGAAGTGAACAGAGGCAAGGAGAGTTAGAGGATGTATTTCGCTGTCAATCTTGACAGGGAGAACGGGATGACAGGCGGTTGTACTGTACACCGTGCACTGTCTAGATTGGTCATGCGATGGATGCCAATGAAATTTGTAATTACAACTCTGTTTACCTTCTGCTACGGAAGAGAAGTCAGTAAGGCAGGCTGATGCTGGAATTCGAATTTTAGCAGCGTTCGAATTTTACCAGTGGCTTTTCAAATAATTACCAGGTAAGCATTACTTGACATTGGGCGTAACTTTGAGGTAAAGATTTGATTTTCATGAAGCGCACATTGTCT